AATACTATTATTATTGGTTCTTAAATAAATATATTATAATATCATTTATTTAATATTTATGTTTATTACAAAACAAATGATATTATTATAATATCATTTATGTTTAGTAATAATTTATAAATATAATTATAATGATATTATTTATGTTTTATTTCCCTTTTTATTAATAATAAGTTTTTATCATGGTAATAAGGGTAAAAATAATAACAAAACCAATATATAATTTATGTAATCATAATATAAATTATTGATGTTGTTGTTATTTGTGTGTGTGTGTGTGTGTGTGTTTGATCATTTATAGGTACTATAATTTATATGTACAATTATATTGCAATGATAAAACAATAAGTTGATATATGTTGGTATAAAACAATAAGTTGGTATTATATAATAATATAGCATATAATTGTAGTTTAGATTTGCATTCCATGTAAACTAAATTGACTAAGTATATCTTTTAATTTTAAATTGTGTATTGATACTCCTTTTTAAATTATGGATGTTTTTAGTATCAATTAAATATGCCTTGAAAATTAGATCAAGTCTGGAATGGACATTTAAAAAAAAAAAATGCAATGATGGAAAAACAGCACTTATTTGCACATACTGCAATGCAAAGTTTCTCACACAAAACTCTACTCTGTCTAAAAAACATTTAGTTACAGATTGTCCTCAATCACTAAAGTTTGTCAAAACAAAATTTGCAGCCAATGTTTTGAAACAGAGTTTTGCGCCAAAAACTAAAAGTGGAATAATACTTATAAAATCTTTATCTGAATTTGACACAAATGCAACTAATAATGAAGGTGTATCAGGTATAATAAGCAACTTGTGCAACAACAACCTTATCAGTTTTGTAAAAAAAATAGGCAACAACTCCACAATAAGTGTGGTTGCTAATGACTTACATTCTGATGTACCAGAGTGTTCTTTTTCAAAATCTTCAGAAAAAAAAAACTGCCAGTTCAACTTCTATTTTATCTCTCAATCAAAAACCTATATCATATTTTATTGATAAAATATCAACACAAGAGTGTGATGAAATAAATATACAATATGCAAAAGCAATTTATGCAACAGCCAGCCCTTTCAGCATGTCAGAAAATACATTTTGGATTAACTTCTTTAAAAAGATTCGACCTGGTTGGTCACCTCCCAAACATTATGCTCTGAATCATGATCTTTTAGACACAGTATATGAGTATATGACCAAGTAAATAAATTCAAACAAGAACTGATATCCCAGGCAGAAATACTTGTCCTTATGATAGATGGTTGGTCTTGTATAAATAATGATTTACACATACAGATTATGTTAGCTACTCCAACTCCAATATACATAAAAAGTATTCATCCAAAAGAAACTCCCACACCGGAAAATACCTATTTGATCAAATGGTTGAGATTGTTAAAGATGAAAATGTTATACCAAACAAGAGAAAAATAAAAGCTTTTTGCACTGACAATACATCGACCATGGTGGCTGTTTGGAAGTTGATAGAAAATAAATATGATTGGATGTCAGCATATGGCTGTTTTTCTTACGGTCTAAACTTATTAGCTTGTGACCTAGTAAAGAAGAACAACACAATTTCCGAAACACTAAAGCAAAATAAACAAGTAGTTGAGTTTTTCAAAAATAAACATGCTTTAAAGAGTATCCTTGAGCGCTGTAGTCTATGAAAAAAAATTTGACTTAAATTCTTCCTGTTGTAACTAGATGGTCATCTCAGTTTTCAATGTTACAGCGCAATTTGCGCCTTTGTGACTCATTGTGATTGGCAGTAACTGATAAGAAAGCCCAAGAACATTTTGAAAAACACAATTAAAAAAAAAGGAATTAACCTTAAAGAATTAGTGTTAAATTAGTTATTTTGGAAAAAGACAGATTTAGCTTACAAACTTCTAAAACCTGTATCAGAGGCTATTTTGGAATGATACAGTTTGATACAGCATCTGTGTCTATTGTAGCACAAGTCTTTTCATATGTGACAGCTGAAATATCTGATGTGTTACATGATGATGACTTTACAAGAAAAAGAGAGTATTACTACTTGTGTTAAAAAGTGTGAAGACTTTGTCATTAGACCAATACACTTTGCAGCTAATTTGCTTGATTCAAGATTTGCTGGTAAAGAGTTAAATCATTTAGAAATGGTTTTAGCTGAGCAGCATTCAGAATAGCTGAAAATGAAACGCTAGCTGCTGATGTTATATTAGATGAACTAATGAATTTTAAAGCTCGTAGTGGAATATTTAGCCAGGATAGTCGCAGCTATATTTGGAAGCTTAGTGTAGAGTGTAATCCAGTTGTATGGTGGAAAGCATATGCACCTACAACATTATTGAGCAGAGTGGCGTTGATACTATTATCTTGTAGCTGCAGCATTGCATCTGCTGAGCATGCAAACAAAGAATTTTCATTGCAAAAATCTAAAAAGCGAAATCGTTTAACTGATATGATAATAAATCTCCCGAAAACAGATGTCTGTTTACTATTGCTAGAAACCCTTCTAAAAAGGTTTTGTCTAATGTCAATTTCCGCTATTCTCAGGTCACAAAATCTCGTATTTTATCTCAAAAACTAGGTTCTAGAGACTTCTAGAGAATCTTACACAGTATCTATAATAAGGGGAATCTGTTACTCTACCAATCTTGCATGGTTCAGATTTTGTTACCTCACCTAAAGACAAAGTTCAACTGTTTGCCAAGAACTTTTTATCAATATCTCTTGATTTCACTAATCACACCCTACTTAAAATAGCCAAAAAAACAGGTTAATCCATTGCTTGACATTTGTATCACTCCAGCTTCTGGATCTAAAGTGATTTCCTGCTCAAAATACTTTACAGATTATGGTCTAGACAACATAACTATTATAGTCTTGCAGAAGTATTCTCCGGAGCTGTTGTCTATACTTTCAAAACCATTTAACAAGTGTTTATCAGATATCGCTTTCCAGCCTGCTAGAAATCAACATCTGTTATTCCCATTTTCAAAAACAACATTTTGGATAACAATTTGACTGGTTCAACTACTGTCTCATTAGTCTTCTAATTATCATAAGCAAGGGTTTTTGTATTTTTATTTAACTAACACTTAACCTCTCATGTTAAATCTTATAACTTAGTTTCTAATCATCAATATGGATTTTAATCTTCTTGTTCTACTGATGCTTTGTTAATGGTAATAACTAATAGGTTAATACTGTTAAAATTTTATTGTGCATTAGATAGATGTAGAGAGGTTAGAGCTACTGTTGTTGACATTTCTAAAGCCTTTGATAAAGTTTGACATGCTGGTCTTCTCCATAAGCTCTCTTCTTATAGTGTATCAGGTAAGATCTTCAAGATTATTCAAGTCTTCTTTACCAATCATAGTATAAAAGTTGTCCTCAATGGACAGCACTCTTCTTCATTTCCTATAAATTCAGGGGTTCCTAAAGGTTTTATCCTTGGCCCTATACTTTTTTAATTTACATTAACAACCGCCCAGAAATTTTCACATCTAAAGTGGCATTGTTTGCTTATGATACTACCATTTATTCTTGTCTTGATAATTAGTCAACACTCTCTGATTGCTTGGAATGGGCATTAGAGCTTTAAAATGACCTCACTTTTGCTACAGCATGGGGCTCTCACTTTAATTCAGAACTTTAATTCTTTTTTTTCAGCAAATCTTCCTGTATTTATGAACAGTAATGTAATCAATAAATCATCTACCCTTTGTCTTCTAGGACTCTTACTTCTCATCTTTCATAAATACCATTTATCAAATCCACTGCAAAATTAGCATCTGCTAAGGTTGCATCTCTTTATTGTGCCACTTTCTTAGTTCAAATTCTATTCATTATCTCTATAAATCTCAAATCTGTCTTTTTATGGAATACTGTAACTATATCTGGAGTGGATATTCGAATGATGTCCTTTCTCTTTTAGATAAGGTGCAAAAACGCATTGTAAACATAGTTGGGCCAGCTTTTGAAGCCAACCCTGTGTCATCTACTAAAGTTTGTTCTCATGTTATTTGTCATTTAATTTCATCCTTTTACTGTGACTGTTATTAAGTGCTCCAAAAATTCTTTTTTCTTTTCTTTTCAAAAATTCTCTTTTCAAAATTTCTTTTCAAAAAATTTCTTTTCAAAAATTCTCATTTCTATGGAATTAGCTCCCTTCATCTTGTTTTCCAGATTCATATAGCTTGCAATCTTTTAAGTTGTCTGTTAATCCTCATCTCGCTTTATAAATTTAATCTTTTCTCTTCCAGTAATTTTCAACTCTAATAGTGGTTGCTTGTAGCCTTGTTGGAAAAATAGATGTTGAAAAAAACTTTAAAAAATCACAAGTTGGTGCATGTGCATTCTGTTTGATTTTTTTGTGTTTATTTTAGAATAAAATTGAAATTTTTATATTCTTCGATATTTCCCAATCATTTACTTTTTTGCTGCATTTCTTAGCAAGCTCATTACTTTGTGATTGAACTGTTATAAAATTGAAGACTTTGTTTTAAAATTGAAGGCCTCATTTTTAAATTGAAGGCCTTGTTTCAAATTTGAAGGTCTCATTTTAAAATTGAAAACCTCTTTTAAAATTGAAGGCCTTGTTTTAGAATTAAATGCCTCTCTCCTAACTATAGTCAACCTTTTCTTTATATCTATCAAATAGTTTTCCTGATTCTCTAGATCAAATATACCTAAAAACAGTTGATGCAGAGTTTCCTTTATTCAAGAAGATGTTTTTTGCAAACAACTCCCTTTGTTTTCTACATGCAAAATTTCTAAAAGCATGATTTTTAATACTGATTACTTTTCATTTTTTTATTGATAAGATTAATTTCCCCAAAAAGTGGATCATTATTACTCAAAGATTTAATAATAAGTAAATTACTAAAAAAAATTAAATTTTTTGGCTTAATATAAATCCATCTAAAGTTTTAGGACAAAAATATTTCATTACCAAATAAGGTTTGTATTTAGATTTTTGATCATCTAAAAGAAATACCTTTTTATTTGTTCCTATTGTGTATCTCCAAGCATAAATATTTTGATTAGTAACAACAGCTGCCCATCCAGATGACTCAGCAAGTGCCGTAACTAAAATAATTTTTAAGTTTTAAGGTAAGGGATTAAGATATCAAGTTAAAATAACATTTTTTTAAATTGTATTTGCATTTAGTTTTAATAGGCTATTTTGTAATACTTGTATTGTATTTGATTTAAAAAAATTTTATGTTTGTGTTTATTTGATTGTAATGTATTTGTAGTTTCAAAAACTATTGTTATTTTATCATTACAATGTATCATTATATTTTTGTTATTTTATCACTGCTAATTTTTTATCAAGTAATTTCAGTAATTGTTCTTCAAATTGTTCTTCATATTAGGTTAAAAATATATATATAAACAAAATTATTCAAAGAACCATTTTTTTTTTTTTAATAAAGCAACAATATGAGTAACAGAATCCTTTTTTTCAAAGATACATTAAATACAGGATTTAGTAAACTGAGAATATTAAAACTTTGAAAAGTCAGACAGAACCTTTTTAGATTGTTTTCTTGCAATAATAAAAAGACATTTGTCCTCAAAAGAGTTTTTGTGTAAAATAGATTTTTTAAAATGATTAAATATTTCAAATGTAATCCATTCATTGTTGATCAATATGGACAACTCAATGCTTATTTTAGATGTTATTTTGCCAATGAAACTTCATTTTTTCCTAGGAATTTTTAGTCATTTTTTCAAAATATTCAGACCTGTGGCATGGAGCTAAAAAAATGGCCAGCTGGGTTGCACTCAGCTGGCCAGTATCATGGTGGACACTTCAAAAGCAATCATTTCCATATGCTTTTAAAAAATATTGACATTCTCCAACGAATGGCTAAAAAAGCTTGTGCTTATAAAGTGCTTATTAATTGGTTTTATTGAAACTCTAAGAAATAAATAAGCTGTTTCTTCATGTTTTGATGCAACACTTAAGGAAAGCCTTAGCACTGAAATTCAAAACGCCTTTCTTTTTTTGCCTTAAATATTGACAATATCAGTCACAGCAAAAGTTTATGTTGTCTTCTGCCACGTTGAATAATCTGTGTTAAAGCATCTATCTTCATTCATTCAATCTTCATTCTATACTGAACAAGCAACTTAGGTAATCTAATGCATATGCATAAGAACAAGGTTTTATTTTTAATGTTTAAGATATTAAATCTTTGCAATAATATTTTTTGGGTTTTTTACAAAAAACCCAAAACCTTTTTAAACCCCATCTACAAAAATTATTCTTTTAGAAAATATGCTATCCTAATGTAAATCAATATTCATTTAAAAAAATTCCATCAAATTTCTTTTTTGTGTTTTAAAGTGATGACATAGTAATGAATTGTGGGTTATAAATTTTACATGGTCATTGTTTTTAAACACCAATAGTGTAATTGATAAAATTTGAAATATATAAAAGAGCTTTGCTTTACTATAAAATAACATTTTTTTTTTTTTTTTACCAAAATAATATTTTCCTTAATGGAGGTCATGACGGAAATACTACTAAGGTATTTTTTCCCCCAAGTTCCACAAAATTGCTGCAATTTTTTGTAAACCATCCTCTGTTGATTTCATCATGATGATATAAAAGTTTTGAGTTTATAACATGCTTGGGAGTTAACCATTTCAAATACAAAAAATCCAAAATCCGCCTATTAAAATGCAAAAATCTGGCTCAGACAAAATTAAAACATTTTAAAAACACATGTAAATGTACTTATAAGGTCTATATAGACCTTATAAGTAAATGCCTCCATAGAAGAATTTTTTTTTGTCCTTTTTAGATGAGGTTGATTGTGAAATTGACAGGGTATATATATATATATATATATATATATATATATATATATATATATATATATATATATATATATATATATATATATATACCCATATATGTGTATATATATATATATATATATATATATATATATATATATACATATATATATATATACACCCATATATGTGTATATATATATTTATACACACATACATATATATATATATATATATATATATATATATATATACATATATATATATATATATATATATATATATATATATATATATATATATATATATATAATATATACATATACATGTATATATATATATATATATATATATATATATATATATATATATATATATATATATATATATAAATATATATATATATATATACGCTACTTGTATTTTACATATGAAAGAGCGATTTGCGTACGCATTCAGCACTTTTACTTTAAAATAGGCATGATGCAATTTAACTTTAAATGATGCAATTTAACTTTAAACGATATATATATCAAAGCTGAATAAAAGTTGCATTTTTTTACCATTTAGCATTCTTATGCAACAAAATCTTGTAAAAAGACCTGCACAATTTTTTGATTTTGATCACAAGATTTTGCTTTATACAGGCTTCAGCAGAAGTAAATAAGTGGACTATGAATAGCATACCTAAAATGAACTTGGCCAGCTGTCGCAGCTGCCCACATAAATGGTTTTGCGCAGACTTTTCTAAGAGATTAAAGTTATTTATATTTTGATGATAATTATTTATATTTTCTTTATTCCAGTAAATTTATTCTAGTAAAAATATATGCTTTTTTGTTTTTGCAATAAAAAGCATTGCATTAAAAAAAAAAAATCTTTATTTCATCATTTTTTTTTCATTAATTTTTATGTTATTAATTTTCGTATTTATTTAATAAATGTATATATTTAATAATGCAGCATTAAAAAACCAATAAAGTTTCAAAAATTACCATATTTTTCAGAAGTTAGGATCGAAGAAACTTCAATAGGCAAATCTGTTCCATACGTAACTAACTCATGACTTTCACCTTTCTCAATAACTTTACTTGATCTAATCAAGACAATAAACAAAATAATTGTGCACAATAATATATATTATATATATATATATATATATATATATATATATATATATATATATATATATATTATTGTGCACGATTATTTTGTTTATTGTATACAAAATAATCGTGCACAATAATATATATATATATATATATATATATATATATATATATATATATATATATATATATATATATATATATATATATATATATATACATATATATATATATATATATATATATATATATATATATATATATATATATATATATATATTATTGTGCACGATTATTTTGTTTATTGTAATAGTAATTAGCAATAGTAATAATAAATAGTAGTAGCAATAATACAATAATAGTAATAATGATAATATTATCAATAATAATAACAATAATAATAATAGCAATAACAATTATAGTAATGATAATAATAATAGTAATAATAATAATAATAATAATAATAATAATAATAATAGCAATAATAATAATAATAATAATAATAATAACAATAATAGTATATTTTTAAATTACTCATACCCTGACATTAAAGATCTTGTTTGAGAGTCTTTTATGTTATCAACATAACTATTCTGAAAAGGTGAAACTTTGTCAAATGGAGAATTTAAGTTATATTGTTGCTTCTGTTGATAAAGCCTTTTAGGTGTATACATTTTAAACTATTCTATTAAAAAAACAAAAAACAAAGTAAATATTTTCACTTATTAAGAAAGTACGCAGAAGATAATTTATACTCTTTATTTTTTAACAATGCTTTTCTTCCTTATACTATAAGGAACAAAAAGTGATTGTTAAAAAATAAAGGCCAAAATTTGTGAGAATTATTTTACCGCTATATTTTAAAAGCAATTATTTGTTGAATTAAAGTGATGATTAAATATGATTTCATGAATTTGTAATAATAGCGATGATTAAATTAATAGCTTAAATCTTTGAAATCTAATTTTGAATATGCGTTTCTTAATGCAAAAACACTCATATTTTTTATGTTTTTAAACGTAGCTTAATCAATATATAATTCAATTTTGCTTTAATATACTGTTTCAGGGTTTTTTTGTTTTTTTTTTTAAGTATTTTAAATACTTGAACTTCTCGCGCACTTATATTGCACGTGAGAAATTGTTGGCACAAATATATGAATTTATACGTTCACAATTGCAGTGGATATAGATTTAATAAGAATTAACCGAATGGATACTTGACCTACTTAGCGGAGTTGGACAGGGATTCGTTTTCTCTATTACCAGGGCCGCCGAGAGCTTTCATGACGCCCGGGGCGCAGCAGCAATTAGTCGCCCCTTCTATTCAATATTTTTATATTGCATATTTTTAAATTAAAAGCATTTACAATAATACAAGTTAATAATTGTATCTTTATTTATAATAAATATTTATATTAAAAAAACTATTAGAAGTTACGATACATCGGTTTTTCACGTAAAGTGAAAAAACGTAAATCTTTTTACACTTAACTTTTACACTTAACTGTACAAAAATGAAGCACAACATTTCTTTGAAAGAAGTACTAATCGTTCACCCAAGTTTAACGAATGTGTTTGAAAAGGTAAAAAATAATAGTAATAATAGTATAAATAATAATAATAATAATAATAATAATAATAATAATAATAATAATAATAATAATAATAATAATAATAAACAAATACTTTTTTGATGTAAAAAATTTTTGCACGAACTATCGAAAGCATTACATTTCGTGCATAATGCACACATAAAACATCACATTTCTTGCATTATGCCCGAAATTTGCATTATTTTATTTTTACTTAACAATAATTTTGAATGCTTTTATGGTTTTAACTATCTTTAAAAGCATTTTTAAGGTTGCTAGTGACGTTTTTAAGGTTCTAGTGACGTTTTTAAGACAAAACAAAAAAATTAAAGCAACAGCTGCGAAATTATCCGCATGGCTGGATTTCTTTTAACTAAGCAATATAGTATCATCATAGTAGAATATACAAGTTACAACTTTTTAATCAAGTTTGTTATCGTGACTATGGACTCTGAGAAAAGACAGAAGTACCAAAAATATAACGAAGAAGCTGTTATGGCTTCTGTTGCTGATGTTCGAGACAATCATTTTTCATGGAGAAAGGCAAGTTTAAAATATAATGTACCTTCTGAGACAATCGGTGATAGAATAAATGGAAGATACGGTGCCGCCAAGCTAAAGATAGGATAGTTTTGTTCAAAATATTTATTTACTTACTATGCTAGATATAAGCAATATAATTGCATAAGATTTTTTCAGAAGTTAACATATTTTTTTACTTAAAGGTCTCAAATCTGCTTTAGAAAAAGAGAACGAAGAAAGAATAAAAAACTTTTTGATTAAAGCAGCAAAAATAGGATATGGTATTTACCAAAACGATGTACCAAGCATAGTAAAAAATCTTTTAGACGTTAAAGAAAAGCAACATATAACAGAGCATCGATTTAATAATAAAGAAAAAAAGATTTAATAGCTCATAGAAAGTTTGTGAATAATCTGCTAAGCAAAGTTTTGGATCTACCGGTAAATAATTGCTACTCTATTAAGTGTTTTGAATATATGATAAAGAAATGACACAAAATTTTAGATTTTGATTGACCTATGATTATTTTGTATCTGCTTAATCTGTGTTTAATTTGATAAACCTGTTTTTTTTTACTTTATATTTGGTAGGTTTTTTAAAAGGCATTCTGATCTTGCAGGAAGAATGCCTGAAAATTTGGGCCACCGGCGGCTAAACGTTTCTCAAGTTCAAATCAGGCAATGGTTTACTGATCAGGAGAATGATATGTTTGAAGAACACCAAATAAACGCTTCAGAGTTTCTATTACCAGAAAACTCTAGTAGAGTGTTTAATTTGGACAAAGCAGGGTTTCCATTGGCAAGAACATTAAGAAGGCTGAAAATTATTGCCTCAATGGTATAAAGAATGTTTATTGAATAGCCCCTGATACAAAAACCCAAATAACAGTTCTTGGCTGTGTATCCGGAGATGGAAACTACCAAAAACATCAAGTTATATTTCCAGGAGCACAGCCTTGTTACAACTTAGACCGTGTAAATCCATCTGACTATGTTCTTGGGCGATCCATTAACGGATCTTGTAATTCTTCTAATTCCTCGACAGAAATATTTACTTCCTTGAGGTGCTTGAAAAAAATGGAATCGTTATTACTGGAGAATGTCCTGGTAACGTTTCGAAGACAATTAGAAGAAGGTTATGACGTTAAGAGTGATGCGACTACTTCTGGTCGGGAGTGGAATATGTATATGTGTTTGCACATTAATTCAAATAAAAAAATCTCCACCCCTAAAAAATTGCTCAGTTTTTATCCAGTCAGTGGAATCGATTTTCTTAACCACCAACAAACTGTTCAAGAAAAAAATGAAGAAAAAGAGGAAAGAAAAAAAAACGAGAGAAAATACATCGAAAATGAAAAAAAAAGGTATCAACGGCTTCTCTCAAAAAAAGTCATATTGCAGAAGCCTCTCAACCCTGACTCAGCGTTTTTTTTTAAATAAATTAATTGTTTTTTATTTTATTGGTTTACAAAAATTTCTAAGTATTTTTTAGTTTTCTTTTAAGCATTAACGAAAGATATATTTTCAGTGCCATTTCAGAATAATATTCGACAACCCAGTAAGCACAGAACGTTTTTAAAACGTTTAAAAAATCTATTAAAACGGTTTTTAACGTTTTTTAAACGTTTTAAAAACGATCTGTGCTTACTGGGAAGTAATGTTTGGGGCTCACCCAAAAGGTTTTTGGTGTAGCCTATATACCTCTCTATAAAGTGTTTTAATATCCTAAACTTTTTTTACAGATCCTAAATGTTAAAAGGGCCTTTTAACTTTTAGGACCTGTAAAAATATTTATTATTAGGCCTATTGATCGAGCCTATAAACAGGCTCGATCCTAGGCCTAATAAGTAGCCGCGGGCCCTACGTTATGTTCTAACAAATAATTCAACTCTTTCAGACATTTAATCACTAGAAAAATATTTGCAAAAAAACTATATATGAATTAAGTATTGCATCTTGAATAAATCTGCTAAATTTAACTAACAAAAAAAAGGTGCACAAAATTAAATTTTACTTCGTCAACTTGCACGAAATTGTGCAAATCATCAAAAAAAATATTCAAAACGAAAACAAATAAATAAATAAAAAATGATACTCAATAACTGCCCAAATTGCTACTATTTTGTAGATAAAACAGTTGGCTGCCTAAATTGAGCTCATTATATTTTTGGTGGCTGTTTGGTTATACTCTATAACGTTTACAGCAAATGTTCAGCAAACTGCCTGAAATTCGCCACACTTAACCTACAGTTGCTTAACATCCATATTTTCAAAAAATTTTGGATCTAATTTGAATGAAATAACATCCAAATTAAGTAACACTTATGCCACACATTTACTGATTAAGATTAATAAACAAATGTTTGAAATTAATGCTGAAAATACTCTTTTCTTGCTTTTATACTGGCAAAAATTATCATTACTATTCTGTCATCTTACGTCAGAGTTGTATTCAATTCATTTTCAACATCTATGTCCAATAGACTTTCCAGTTTTATAGCGGTCCAAAAATTGTTTTTATTAATCAATTTGAGTTTTTTACTTGGGAAAACACTGAAGTGTTTTTCTAAGTAAAAAATGAAGGTTACTTTAAACCATTAAAATAACTTATGTAATGTTGCAAAATATCTTATATAATGTTGTCTTTATGGAAAATATTAATTTTCATTCGCTTTGCAAAAAATTCTATTTCATCGTCAAAAAGAGTCATCTGCTCATTCTAGGTCTATATTTTGGTTGAAGGTAAAGCAACGGTTTTAAAGCAGCAAGAGTTTTCCGTGATTGTTTTGCAATTAGTTTTATTAAAGCAATCTGAGCTGACCATCTGGTGTCCAAAAGCTTCTAAAGCAAGATTTTTTATCTAGCGGGACTCCAGCTGAAATTGAAAAGATATTTGATTATTATTTATTTATTACAACAACCAATCAAACTTGTACATAATAATAAAACAAAGCAACACCTGGCTTTCATATGCTGACAATGGACAATGCTGTAGCCGAAGGAGCATCATAAAAATATTTTTTCTCTAGAGAATTAAATTTTTCTGGGTATTTTTGACCACCATATCATAACCTAGCTTAAATCTCTTTTAAAAATACTTTTAAAAGAGATTATTATTGGTGCATCAATTAATCATGCTCTAATTAATTCCAACAGTTTGCAAAAAAGTGCTGAAATTCTGGATAATATTTGTTTTAAAAAGGTTATATTTTTAAAACTTATATGCTGAGTTTGATAAGAAAGCGTAAACGCACCAACTTTTTTTACTTGGTTTTTAACAACCTTCTACTTGACGGTTTCATTGAGTATCCGCAATCTTTACTTATTTATTAATTTTTTTCGTTATTTTTTAACAATATCTCCACTTGTAATCATCTTTTTTATATTTTTGTATTTAAATCTTTAATATTGTAATGAAGAACAAACAAAAAAAAAGAAAGAAAAAAGAAAGAAAGACGGTAGTTGTATAATAAATTGAATGATATTGAACGATATTGCGTGTTATTATACACGTTTGAAAAGAAAAATTTTTATTTGAGAAAAGACGACCAAACTATCATGCAAAACTCTAAAAAAGCTGATTGCCATCATTGGCGTATAACT